CATACGTGACTGCAGGATTCAAGCGTTGGGCGGGTTTGAGCTTTGTACAAAAGAAGAAGGTGCTTTGGTGTAAAGAAACGGAATAGAAAATCAACTTTGCGCGCAGCGCAAGAAGGCAATGTAGAGATAAAAGGGGACCAGCAGACAGAGTAATTTATGGATAAACCCAGGAGGAAGAGAGAATTTGTGGAACAAAGATGCAGAGAATCAAAAATCAATTGAGGAGAAAATTGAGGCATGTTTAAGAGAGACTGAGAGGAGAGAAGTTTTGGAAGCATTGAAAAACACGTGGTTGGTAGAACCCCATGCGCAGATTAGTTGGAGATCGAAGGCAAGAAGAGCACTAATGAGATTACGATCGTGATCGATACTGGTAAAACCTTGGCGGATTGTGGGGTAAGAAACAGNACAGAACAATGGAGAGTGGCATCACCGGCAAAGCAGTCGATAGGGTTGGATGTTTGGGATAAACGATCGTTGATAAATAAGAGAAAGAAGGTGGATGAAATTATGGAACCTTGGGGAACACCGATGTTTTCAGGAAATGTTTCTGGATGAAACTACGCGTCGTCTGGATCAGGGTAAGGCAGTGGAGGTGTTAATTAGACTTCAGCAAAGGTTTTGATTCCGTTAGTATCACGCTCCTTGACAGGATACAGCCAACTTTTGGAATAGTCGGGTCAGCGCGACAGTGGTTAAAACAGTTTCTGAGCAACCGTAGCTTCCATTGTGCAGGTTAGCAGCTACACATCGAGATCACAGGTTACAAGTGGGGTAACGCAAGGCTCGGTTCTTGAGCCCATTGTTTTCATTAACGACCTTGCGTTCGAATTGCACAACCCTGCTTCTTTTTTGCAAATGATGTAAAGATAGCAGGCGAGAACTTAATCTAGAACCTAAATGCAATCCGCAGATGGTCGGCTCAATGAAATCTATCCCTGAATCTTACCAAGTACCAGGTACTGACTACTACTATAGACCCAACCAGAAGCAAAACACTACGAGATGTGTAGGAGATCAAAGTTCTAAGTACAATTGTCAGCAACGACTTCCGGCCTACCAGGCAATGCCAAGTGGCCAGAAGACTACATTTCAGGCCATGTACCACGGTCACGTACAGGAAGCCAGAGGTGTTCGTTCCACTGTACAAAGTAATAGTGTTTCTACTGTTGGAATACTGTTTGCAGGCCCGGGTCCCATACTACTGCAAAGAAAAGGAGAGTTTAGAAGAAGTACAACGGCTGGTAACTGGAGTNAGTGGTTACGAGGCAGGTCCGTTCCATTCCTCCGAGCTCGCTCGTACGCTCGAAAGTCTAGAGATTGATGTGTGTTGCTTCTCAGAGACGCATTCGGCATCCGGGCTCAGTGATCTGATTAACCTCTCCTGCCTAATTAATAGAATCGTTTCATCTGCGCATCTCCAGAGACCCAATCGCTTCAGCGTCTGGTCAAGCAGGTGTTGGTATTGCCCTAAGCGCCAGGGCCGAGGCTGGTCTATTGAATTGGATTGCAATAGATAGCGGACTATGTGCAGTGGCACTCTGAGGCTCAAGTAAGGTCAAAAAGCAGAAAAAATGGGTGACGGTTATTCGTGGTTTCTGCGTACGCTCCCGCAGACTGTAGCCCAGATATAGTCAAGGACGCCTTCTATCATAACCTACATGAGCTTCTTCTCAAAGTATCTAAGACGGATATCGTGATCCTGGCAGGAGACCTAAACGCACACGTTGGTCGTCTGTCAGCCGATGAGACCCACATTGGTGGCCGCCATGGCCTTGATAGCTGTCGTTCAGATGATGGGAATAAACTTCTTAGCATATGCTCAGAACATGGTCTGCTCCTTATTGGCACGAACTGCAGACAATCTAAGCGTCACTTCGCCACTTGGCTTAACGCCTCTTTGGTGCAGACGTGGAGTCAGATTGATCATATAGCTATTAGCTATAGATAGAGAGGATGTGTGGAAGACTGTCATTCGTTCCAATTCCCCTGTTCGCCGAGCTTGGCAATTTGTTTGCAAACGTTTCATCACCAGCCGAGGTGACATCATCAATGCTTGTGAAGTGTAGTGTTCTGCCTGTATCCGTTCGTTTATATATGCGTTCTTATCCACCGACTATTTTCGTCCCCTATTCTCACTGTGTCGGACTCGGTCCGCCGTTGAACTGCTGCGAGCGGGTGGGGGTGGGAGGGGAGGAAGTTATCCTTTCGTCCCGATTGCGGTTTCCGTCCGTTCTCAGGTCACGGCGTGATCTTTGTTGCGTCATTTGATCCTTCAGTTGCATTGGCATGTACACGTGATCCAGTTCGATGTGCCTGTTTATTGAGTTGAATGAAGAGTGCCAGGCCTCGAGAAATTCTCTGGCGTGTTTTGACCGGGCTTGGTCGATAATTGTCACTGATTCGAAGTCAAATTGATGTCCTTCTTGATCTTCGTGGAGAGAAATCAACGATAGTGGGTCATGCCTCC